TTCGGAGTAGGTTAAAACCGTCTTGCACTATATTGGAGAGGGATCCTCAGCAGTTGGAAGGGGCATTGTGGGGTCATATTCTACAGTATAACCACCATGCGACCACAAAGGATAAGCTAGCTCAGTTCACACATGCGGCCGCGAAAATTGGAGCCTTAGATGCGAGACCAGCAAGCATTTTAAACACCACGTGTTCCTTCCTAATGACCCTAAATCCTAAGCCCTGAACCCTAAACCCTAAGCACCTAAACTTGAAACCCTAAGCCCTAAAGGATGTTCGTTGAATGCCTAATTTTGGATCCCGGGGCCGCGTGCATAACAGTTGCTGTGTCGTGCCCCCAAGCATTTAGGCAGGAGATTGTCTGACAGGGTTTAGGATTTTGGCATCGGGTTCAGGGCGTAGGGACATGCACGCAACCCCATTCCTGGCAATTTGCATTGACAACCAAAGGTAATCAGCAAGATTTCAGGGCCAACAGTTCGGGAGGACTGATAAGTTGTTGTCCCCTAAACCCTAAACCCCTAAACCCTAAACCCCTAAATTTAAGAAGACACCTAGATAGCTTGCTCGTCTCTGGATCGAGAGGAGAGAATCAGCTCAAATCGTGGCTGTGTTCGAGCCATGTTCTTCTACTGCCTTGAAGGAGATAGTCCCAAAGGGTCCAATGTACCTACATAGTAGAATGTAGGGTTTCTATATTAGGAATTACTATTATGATTTAGTGCTGTTCCTTAATGCAGACGCCGGCGTCCTACCGCCGCAAGGTGTCCTTCCTCAAACAACTTAGCCAGGAGAGCCGTAGTTCTGGGAAGGGGTTTAAATGGAGGGGTTTAGGGGGTTTAGGGCTTAGGGTGCTTAGGATGTTTAGGGGATTTAGGGGAGGCTTGGGGTTTAGGGGTTTAGGGAGATTTGAGAAGCAGCAGAAAGTAGTGAGAATGACAGTTCTAGTCATGGCAATACTCTTGGTAAGAGTGGTTAATGCAACAGCAGCACCGGGACACCAAAAATGGCAGTGCGTCTACAGATCATAGCAGCGAACAGCAACATCATTTGTAATGACAATAAGAAGAGTACATAGGCCAAAATTCACTCTGGAAAACTCGGCAACAACAATGCAAGAATCAGTTGCAGTCGCAGGAATCGTCGTCCTCGTAGTTGGCGTCGTCGTCGCTGTCGGTCGTTGCAGTAGTAGCAGTGCTCGTCGCAGTCGCGGTGGTCTTGGCAGTCGTAGCTGTAGTCGTCGTCGTCGTAGTAGTAGTAGTAGTAGTAGCAGTAGTAGAGGTGGCAGTAGCAGCAGCAGCAGCAGCAGTAGCAGTAGCAGTAGCAGTAGCAGTAGCAGTAGAAGCAGTATCATTAATATTATTAGTACTAGTACTAGTACTAGTGCAAGTACTAGTACTAGTACTAGTGCTAGTACTAGTACTAGTACTGGTCTTAGTACTACTACTACTACTACTACTACTACTACTACTGCTACTGCTACTGCTGCTACTACTACTACTACTACTACGACGACTACTACGACTACCACTGCGACTACTACTACGACGACGACGACTAAGACTAGGACGACGACGACGACTACTACTACTACTACTAGTACTACTACTACTACTACTACTACTACTGCTAATCCTGCATCACACAGAATAAAGGAATATACTATAATTCCCATAGTTTAGGGTCCTTAATGTAATGCAGGATTTATATCATCAACAGTACTACGGCTCTGATCAGAGTAAAGCGATACCCCACAGAAAAAGTCGACCAGATCCCTGCAAACGGACAGGACCCCCCAAATCATCCATGACCATGCCTGAAACAATAAGTTTTGACAGACGCTTATATAAGGGCCTGCAACCCCATGCACGAAGCACAAAAGTGTTGGAATTTCGGCCTTGGAGATTTGGAGTTTGGGTGTTCAGGGCCTTTAGGGTTTTGATCCGTGCAAAACTCCTTCCCGAAAAGCCACACAAATGTGACTACCGCACAACTTTAGTTCTGCGCCATGAGCCTTTCATACTGAAGACAGTTTACACCCTGATGAGACGCGCTTGTGCAAAACCCCATGTACTCTTCGAAAGTCCGTGCCCAGCCTTGCATATCTTTCAGAAACAGAAGAGTGTGTGTGTGTGTGTCTGTGTGTACATGTAGATATGTTTACACCCACATATATATATATGTATATGTATATTTATTTAGCTATTTATGATGTGTGTATATATACATATATATATACATACATACATATATATATGTATATGTATCTTTTTCTGTATCTGTATATGTACGTATATGTACGTATATGTATTTGTATGTGTATTTGTATGTGTATTTGTATATGTGTATGTGTATGTACATGTGTATATATATATAAGTATATGTATAAGCACATGCATATGTACATGTACATGTAGATGTATATGTATATGTATATGTATATGTGGATGTGTATGTGTATGTGTATGTGTATGTGTGTGTGTATATATATATATATATGCATTGACATATTTATGTAAAGATGCATATGGCATATGGGTACTCAGACGGCAAAGACGGCAAGGGTCCCGATGCTGAGCTTAGATGGAGTGATTAGGATTGGGGTTTGGGGGTTACAGAGTTTGGGGACTGGTTTAAGGCTTCGGGTTTAGGGATTAGGGGTTACACTATAGCTACTAAGTATTACTAAGTTATCTGGTTCAAGGATTAGGGTTTAAGGTAAAATGAGGACTCGGAATCCGATTTTTTCAGATGCCTCCACAGAAGCTCTCAAGGCCCAAAGCTAGATCCTGGAGCGAAATCCTCAAACTCTTTACCCTTAAGCCGGGAAAACGGCCCTAAAGCCTGAAACCCTAAACCCTAAACCCGCGTACGACATACCTTACGTTTTACTCCCAATATCCGACAAGGGCCCGCCCAAGAACAACTCTGCCAAGCCTTCCTAACACTTGAGAATGACTCTGAAAGGAGACCCCTCCACGATACCTTGAAGGAGACCCCTAAACCCTAAACCCTTACGAAGTCCTAAAAGAGACCATTCAAGGCGACTTTTACGGGAACTCTGAAAGGGAGCCCTAAACCCTTAACGTGTGAGCTCAAGTGCAAAGAAGGATCATCTACGGAGGGCAAGCGAGGATGGTACAAACCTCTCGTCTGCAACAGACGTTCCTTAAGTGAAGACCCTTCAGGCTGACGGAAAAGAGGCGTTCAAAAAAAGCAAAACCCTAAAACCGGGTTTAGGGCTTAGGGTTTAGGGTCCCAGACCCCCCAAGACCAGACCCGAAACACATCCTGACTCTGCACCTTACGGGAACCCTGAAGGACCAAATGACCCTCAAAAGTAGGGGCCCTATACCCTTATACTATGAATCCCTATATGGTCTATGGACCCTAAACCCTTTTAGGGTTCATGTCGTCTTTAAGAACTCTGAAAGGAACCCAGCCAGGAAGCGAGCGCGGCGAAGCACAGCGCAGAAGCCCACGAAGCTGGATAGGGCTTCCAAGGCCGTTTAGGGTTTGGGGTTTAGGGGATAGGGTTTAGGGTTTAGGGTTTGGGGTTTAGGGTTTAGGGGATAGGGCTTCCAAGGCCGGGGGCTTACGGGGCTGTAGGGGTTTTAGGGCTTCAGGGTTTTAGGGGCTTTAGGGTTTTAGGGATTGAAAGGGTTGAAGGGATGGGGCTTTCTAAGGCCGGGGCTCATGGGGTCTTGGGGGTTTTAGACTTTAGGGTTTGGGTTCGTGAGGGTTTCAGGCTGCACAGGGTTTGAGGTCTTGGGTTTGGGGCTTTTGGTGGTTTTCCGGGGTTGGGGTTTGGGTTTGGGTTTGGGGGTTTAAGGGTTTGGGTCTTAGGGTCTTTGGTGGCCCTAAACCCTAAACCCTAAACCGGTCGCTTGAAGGGCCCTTTAAGGGTTGGATCAGGGCCATCTGGGTTCCTTTAAAGAGTTCCTGCTGTAGGGGACCTACATGGATCTACTTCTACTGTGTTTACTACATGGGTTTACGGCTTAGGGTTTACTACATGTGGGGTAGGGCTACCCACTTTAGGGCTTAGGGCTTCAAGGGTTGAAGGTGTTGGTTTAGGGTTTAGGGTTTAGGGTTGGTTGCATAAGCTTCGTGAAGGGTTGTATAGGTTTGGAGGTCAGCATACGGCTTTGAGCTATAGTAGTATAGTCATGTGTAGGTATACAAGGCGATATTGTTACTGTTTCGTCCGTCCGAGCTCTAAATCAAAGGCCCGTGAAGCCAATCTGCATTTTGGGCTCTGTGGAACCATGCATGTAAGAAGACCTTCATGTTCAACTCCCCCTTCACACATTCATACAAGCTCTTGTTATTGTTGGGTTGAGCCGATCCTGTGAATTGTGGCTGTGGTGTCTGGATTCACTCAGGTGGATCAGGTGCCAGCCAGAGCAGTAGCTCCAGGCGAGACTCAACAAAGACTTGGATGAAACCCTAAACCCTAAACCCTAAACCTTAAAACCAAAACCCTAAACCCTAAACCCTAAACCCAAAAAACCCTAAACCCAAAACCCTAAACATCCAAGCGACCGAGGGTCATGGGAAGGGCTTGCTCACGGCCCAGAGTGTGCCGGAGGGTGCTGTCATACTGAAGGCCACGACCCTCCTGTTCAGGCCGCAAAACACAGTCATGGAATTCTGGCAAGCCCATCCGGAGCACGACGATGCTGCATCTCGACATGAAGCGAAAAAGGATTTACAGTTTAGCTCCTCGGACCCTTACTTGGAAGCCCAAGAGGGGCATCTGCAACTGATGCACTGCGAAAAGCAATTCCTGTGCTTGTCGCCTTGTCTGTGTGTCACTCAGATGGTGTCACCCTCGAAGGTGTTAAACCCTAAACCCTAAACCCCTAAACCCTAGCTGCCTTCGGCCCAGGCGTCCCCGGCACGCGGCAGCCGGAACCCACCCACAAGGGGTGGGGCTAACGTGGGCTGGTTGGTTTCCTGTGCTTCGGTTCTGGTTTGTTCGTCGGGGTGCCTCGCCATGGAGCCGCCTGCGACGTGGGTAGATGAGTCTAGAAAGCCATGGTCCCCCGCGGTCCGGTGGAGCAGAATGTCAGCCATTTATGTGCAGGTCTCTGATGCTTCCGCGCAGAAGGCGCGTTGTTGGTTGGTGGACCCAGCTTCATCAAAACAACTTGGACTTGGAAAACGCAAGATCCCGATTGTGACTGATATTCAGATCGTTCTCCAGGGTCGCTTCTTATTCCAGCTCGAACATGGCAAAACTTACGCTGTCTTCGGAAGCCAGCCGCCGGTTCTGCATGACAACGAGTGGCATGTGCAAATGCCGCGGCAAGGTCATGTGACAGGGATTTGCTGTGTTTTAGGTGGTGCTCCAGGGCTTCGAAAGCTCTGCAACAGCCACGAGGGCAAAAGGCAGCCGACACCGCCGGTGACGCAGGTTGTGGATCAGTCGGCGTATGTTGATGGTATGGTAGTCACCCCGGATGTTGCATTGTGTCCGTACGCTGCACCAACGCAGGTGTCTGCTGAAGTCGTTGGCTTCTCAGACTGTCGTCTGTCGCACAGGTGGCAAGCAAGGTCATCGAATTTGCAGCATTCGTGTGAGTGGGGGGCAGGGTCCGCAAGAGCGTCTGCCTTTAGCCAGGCAGGGTCCGCACGTGCGTCTGCTAATGGCCCACCACACATCCCGCAAGTTGAGTGTTGCATCCAAGCCAACACATGTCAACGCAACACAGGCAGCGTTACCTGCAAGAGCAAGTGCAATGCTCCAGGTGCCCAGGTCTCAGGCATAGAGGTGGAAGTCACAAACAAAGTGGAGTCTGCACATGCTTGTGCTCATAGCCCGTGTTCCGCCAAAATGACACAGAGTGCCAATCGTTCACCGTTGATGCGTGGTGCGGGGGCAGGGTCCGCAAGAGCGTCTGTCTTGAGCCAAGCAGGGTCCGCCCGCGCGTCTGCT